TACCATTGGAGCAAAGCTAGTAAACTGGAAATATTGTCCGGACCATGTATCCTTCCGGTACACAGATCTTCTGATTGATCCATCCGTTCGACGTGAAACTTTCACATCCGAAAAGGCGATACTGTCTTGCGTTTCACTGTGACGTGTACAGATGCAACGAAATGATCCAGGATACATTGCGCAAATCTGTGGTTTTGGCTTACTTATTCAGATTTATCACACGGAAACTATGCTTCCAATTATTATCATTATTGATCGATCGATTTATTTACTTTACATTGCAAGAAACAGATAGCTATTTGGAATACTTGTATTGACCACAATAAACAGTCTGATGAAAAAGTAATCATTTATCAGAAAGAATGAACTTTTTTGCGGCTCGGGACTAAATATTTTCTAAGCTCGACCTGTAACTCTTGAACCACTGCGAATTTTATCCCGTGACACTAAAGGTCACATCAATTCAAACAGTGCTAGAAGAGAATCACGGATATTGCAGTAGAAGATCAAATTCGGAACAAATGTTCTTATCATCCCCCCGAATATCGATTACACAAACATGAGGCTGGAAATTGAGTCAGAGCCTGCATGAGTTCGACCAATACCATAAGTATCAACTCCTTTTAGATATGATATGATCTGTACAGCAGGGGTAAACTCATTGAAAACAATCGTTCGTTCTCAAGTTCCCCGTGTGTGAGTGTATCTCACAATGCAGTCCGTGTATCTCCTGGAATTTATATAGAGAGAGTATCAAGCCCAGGGACACAAAAAGTACGCACTGCTGATGAGTCTCAAACAAGACGAAACAGCTGTCCAGTGTGCTCTTTGTTGGTTATCACAAACATTTCTGTTGCATTTGAGTACCAATTCACATTGACGAATAGTTCACACCGCACGGTTGTCAGAAATTTTGATTGCGCTTCATTTGCACCGCATGACTCCGGTATCAATCCAAAATGGTGAATGAAATACACGGAATTGATTTAACAAACGGATCAGTTACGGAACATGTGAAATGAAACACATATAGTGAAAAGTAAAATCACACGCATACATACGCCTTACTCGAATAGACTCCCATTCAGATGTTTGGGCATTTTTGTGACATTTTTGACACATCAATCGTTTGATCACATCCAAAATGTACATGCACGATTTCGGTGTGGGAATGATGTTGAACGGAACCGGCACAGTACAGCCCTCGGCGAAATAGCTGATCCATAGTTTGGAACGAGCGAACTTCCATTCCACATCAACTTGTTCCTGGATATGTGTGTGTGTAGAGTAAGTGAGAGAGAGAGAGGGTGAGAAAAATTAACAAGCGTAAAATTAGTATACCACTGCTAATTTTTTTAACCATTTTTCAATCATTTTTTACTTCCTTTTATTGAATATGCAATGATACAGTTCTCAGTAAGAGGTTAGCGGCAAATGAATTGTGAATTAAATGCGAATTATCAATTCAGCCCAGTAGGTTTGTGGCCAGTTAGCCCATAACCTGTCTGTCTGACCAAGAGCGAAACCAACCTTTGGAAGCTTTGAAGTCAGTATGATGCAACCCTCGTGCTAGCTGGATTGCCTTCTTACGTACGATGCTCTCCATCACTGGGAACTCTCCGTGCTTTTTCCTCATAGCGGAAAACCAAGCCAAAGTTGCCTCATTCACTGCCTTGAACTTTTCGTTGGTTTTCAGATGGCATCTTCCCTCAGATGCCCCAGCGTTCAAAAATTCCCCGTTAGTCGTTTGATGGGATACAGCATTGTAGACAGTTTTTCATGAAATTCTTAGTAACTTGGCTACGGAACTCTGAGTTGCACCTGGCTGTTTCAGCATTTCCAACACATTCTGCTTCTCTCTGATCGATAGGTGCTTGCACATTTTGACGTCAAATGACACTGTCTCTATTCACTTGCATCGATGTAACTTCCTCGAAAGGACTATCCAATCAGTGAACAGTGCTATGAACGCGTCATACTAGTTGCAACACCATTGGTGGAGCGCGGCATTTCAGGGTGGATGGTCTATGGTCGTCCCGAACATCGGTCAACAACCAAGTGAGAACGTATCAGGAACTGCGACATATTGGGGGTGCGACATCGCACAGTCAGAAACTAGGTTATTGGGCATATAATTGGTTTGAGTTTTTGAAAAAGTGGGAAGATATTGGAAAATGCGACTTCTCAGGCGTGCGACATAGCAGGAGATTGACAGTAGTCTGTTCGTATATTCCATAGTTGCAATGGTAAATCCTTTAATCCACTCTCGGGTATCGCGGGAATCCAACAACCACTTCTTGGTTTGCGTTCAAACTACTCACAGATGTGAGTAGGACCTCACAGCACTACTCTCCTCGGTGAAAATTAACTCTGCATACGTCGGCCAATAGTCGATTACTTCTTGGATTTGGAACACGTCTGTCTCCGGTTATTATCTTCGCCTAGTGTCTTACTTGTGTTTCTCTACTCGGACTGTGGAGTGGTCATATTTCGTTTAAATCGTGTGTTGGTCATTTCCTCGTGCCAGATTGCGAGATTATTCCGATATACACACCATTCGTTGTATTTTGTACACGGGATGGCGTTCTTCAACCATGCGGTATGGACCTTTCCACCTCGGGAGTAACTTCCTCGAGCCATGGCCGCTGGAGAATCCTACGATATGCCACTTATACTACACTAGATCCAACCGGGAATACGCTTGCTGTCCGTTTATTCTGTATCCTGGACTTGCGCATTTTGTCTACCTCAGATTTTTCGTGGCTTTATATCTTGCCCCTTGAATTTGTTGAGGAGACAAATCACTTTGCGCACACATATCAACATCGAAATCCACTGACAGATTTGGAGTTCTTCCGTCCATCAGTTGAAATGGTGTATGTTTGGTACTGGCCAATAAGTCCGCTGTCGAAGCAAATCGTAAGTTCGCGCGCATCCAGTGTGTGCCAGTTCATGACGTTTTTGATGAGGATTTAGTGCAACTGTTTCGGAATGAAGACTAAAGGGCAACTTCTTCTAGACTATACTTCCATCAAGACCCCGGCAGCTTTCAAATAAAGCCGCTTCTGTACGGATCTTCATGACTTCATGTGTGTGCTATGCTGCGTGCTTCGGTCTTTTTGGCCTTGCGAGATTGCCTCGATCACCTTGCGGAGTTGTTGCGCTGTTCCTTCACCAATTCGTGCGGGTCTTGTCCAGCTGTCAGCATACTGACACTGAAGGAATCTGTTTCCTCCTGACGAGAAAAAAATATCCGCCATACAGTTTTCAGTACCTGCAACGTGATTGATCGTGAAGTCGTACTCATGCAGTCGAAGCACCCATAGGGCTAGTTTTCCTCTCGTATCCTTGGCGGTTCTATTGTACTCCAGTGGCGTGTGATCCGTTTCTATATGAAACCTGTGATCCAGAAGATTTGGTCGCAAATTATCCATTGCCCAAACGATGGATGGCAAAGCATTCTATTTCCATGGTGGAATGCTTCCGATCCGTTAGATGGGGGAAACTGAGTGGTCATTTGTGATTTAGCTTTTCACAAATCATCCGACTCAATAACTGAATTGCAAATTGCAATCGATCATCCTAATAGATATCACAAGAAATTGCACCATGCACCATTCTTCGTGATCATACTCTCTTTCTCTGAAAGTTTCCGGGGGTCATATTGCAGCGAGAAGGCGAGCTGGCTGGGAAAAATGTCTATTGATCCAATTCAAAAGCAAACAGTGTTTGCGTTTAATTATATACAGTCAATTCTCAACCGCGCGGCGGGATGATTCATGCTTCTTCCTGTGGGTGGCAGTCAACATTGTCTCGCGAGGCACTTCCCGCAGCTGCGTCTGCGCGTCTAGTCGAATGAGCCCCATCTTGATTCGGTCGCTAATCAGGACTCTTTTTGTACTGCCTTCCATCACAATATGTCTGGGGAAAAAAGTGATCACATCTATATAAGGTGGTGAATTAAATAGGATAAAGAACGGAAACTGTGCGACGAGGCACACAACGATGGCGGACTGAAGTAACGCTTGAGGAACTGTTCAAGCCAACTCAAAAAAAGGGCGATGACTGCAACGGGACGTGCGATCCACAGGCGAGGTTAGGATGGTCCGAACCACAGAGCTATCGACCGATTNNGACCGATTTACCGTCCACAACAGTCGAACGTGTTGAGTAGGAAAAGGACCGGGAAGAAGAAGCGCGGCATTCGCCAAGATCTGACTGGCCAAACTTGTCAGGGATGAGATAACTGTACATGATGTGTCCATTATCGTACTGTGCAGTCAAGAATTAGTGGTTTATAATCGAACGTGAGCGTGACTTGCTTTCGAATTTGATCAGTCCAGGTTTTGCCTGGCGATTAAAGTTCCCCATTATACTACAGTCATTACGATTCTCATTGTCATGAATAACAATTAGAGAACTTAAAAATCCATGTTTTATACCGAATAAAAATATCAAAATTTGGCAATTCGAGTTGCCCGGGTGTCTGCGCATCATTTCAAGATCTCTCGTTGACCTCATCGGCGCTGACAAGCCTCCCAGCGATGTCTGGATGCCAACCATGCAGCACAGATTTCTATACCTCCCGTTGAGGCGGGAGGGGACGACTGTGAGACGTGCCTCAGTCACACACGCCCCAATACCTAAGAAATACATACTGGTTGTTTATCTTGTTAATGTGTTCGTGTGTGTTCATCGTTTGAGATAAAGTCACATTAAATCTTAAGCTCTTCTCCCTGGTCCGTGAGAGAATTAGAGGAGACCTGATTTCAGAATCCAAGACTGGAATTGATCTGGTCTAAAAGTGAAAGATCTATTTTATTTCATTCGACAAACGAGAACAAGGGGTGGCATAGTCATCGAGTGAATATACAGACTCATTCTCTCACCAACCAGATAGATAGATATGATGGAATAGGTTATCGAATCCGACAGCAAACTGCGCTAAGATCAGATGAGTGCTTTCGAAACCGAATGATTGATTAAACGGCTAGCTATACTTAGGCAATCAGAGCACTGTGCGAATCGACATCAGTGGAATGCTTCCAGTTTCCCACTGATGAAACGATAAAACAACCCTTTGTGTTCCCGATGCCCGTGAAGCCCGTGAAGACATCTTGGGACTGGAAACTAGATATGATTATTAGGACCGCAGTAATAGCGAAAAAAAACATTTTCAAATGTGATGTTGTAAACCAAAACCACGTTGACAATACAAAGAACTGAGAGCTGTATTGACGAGAGCCACAATTTGTCCTATGAAGACTGATCGGGACTGAATTGAATCGACTTCCGGCTGGAAGTAAAAAACAAAAGAACACTTGTGGCGTTTCATTCCGAGGGATTGTGCGGGGAGTAGCGAGGAAGTGCGGCAGGAAATCGATAACTGTCAAGCCAGTCACGTGACTTACCACAATCTGTTCGTATGAACTGTTCATCATCGCGATCAACATGTTCAGGAGGACAATGAAAGCGATATAGGAATACACACCGAATGTCAGCTTTCCTGTAATTTAGACAATTGCAAAAAAGGAAGACTACCGTCAAATCACACTCTGCGGATATATGTATATATAGGGGGTGGGGTTTCATTTATTTTCAATATTTATTGTTTTGTTTTTTTATCTGTGCCGTTATCTCAAACCATATTTAACAAAATGAAAAGTTCCGGTAACACTTTGTGGTTGCTTCATTATATCTGGGATGCTCAGTAGTACAGTACGCTCCAGTGCAACTCGAAACTGGTAGGGGAACTACACTTAAAATGCGCCCTGTTTACTTTCATTTTATGAATGCTCGTCAAGAGTATCTTTATCAAGAGATGACAAAATCATCAAGTTCTGTAGCCCTTGGGATATCTCTATTTGATGTACATATTCAATACGCTGTTCTGAAGCTATGTTTACTAATACTTGTCAGTTGTTTTGATAAGATCTGACAACTTTTCGGTCACACTAATCTGACCATCGAATGCGATGATTGGTAATCACATGTTCCCGTGGTAGTGGTGGTAGTACTAGTAGTAGTAAAGTGATCATAAAATAACATGTTTTGTTTTATGCCAAAGATTAAATCCGTGGTGAATTATAGTTCACGAGATATACAAGCGGCTTTCGCGATACCTGGAAATGGAATAGCACACAGTCATTCAGCAAGAGATTACCAAGTAGTATGCCATGTTTCCAATCTATACAAATGTATAGTATATTGTGAAATTGCACTATAAACCGAAAACTACATGTTATGCAATTATATTTGTCTTTTAAACGTGCAATTCGGACAGCTCCGCATCTATTCGGTAGTTTTTCGACCATTTCAGAGACCCCATCGTTAGTGATCCCGAATAACGGTTTTCCGATTCCCTCAGACGAGATAACTGTATGTGGTGAGTCAACTTTCGTCCGTCTCCAGGTCATA